ATAGACTGACAGTAAAGAAGAGATTTAAAGCATTTGGCAAATAGTTATGCGATGTAGTATAGACGTTCAGAGTCTTGTTCCGATCAAAACGATACTGAAGCTCTTTAAGTTTGAGGGGCTCGAGTCTTCGGGCTGCTACGTACGGAGAGTTTACTCCACAGAATCCGCCTTAAAAGTATCAGAGTAAAGCACTACAGAGGTTTATTACGTTTGGGTGAACTCAGCTGGGGTTCAGTAAACTTAAATTTCGCTTTTGGGTCATCTCTCGGTAATTTAGCCTTCTCTCTTGTCAACGCTGTACTGCAAAAACAGTGCATCGCACGGCTCATGCTTGCCTGGTTGTATGCACAGTGTATTCCAACAAGCGAATTTCGAAATACTCGTCACCATAGTTGCTGAAAGCATTAGACGCTGGCATTAACACCATCATGCCGCTCAGTGACCGACGCTGTCTCCCCCAGGTCCCGGGGATCTCTTAACTCCTACCAATCGATATTTGTAGGTCGCGAATTTGAATTGAAGTTCACGCGAAGAATAAAGCAATATCCCCATTTTCGACCGAGTGGTTTCCACGGGTACCCGCTAGAAATGGCCACAATATAATAAGCTATGGCCTGTTCGCCACACTAACAGGACTTCAGACTTCGAAAAGCCAGACTCAATGAGTTGTGTGCCCAATACGGCCGCGAACGCATGAAGCACTAATAAGTGATCATGAATCCATTATTTTCACTTTCTAACTCCCATTCTGTTTCTTCCTAGGGAGTAGAACATGAATGCCAGGGTAACGACCACTGACTCTGCTCTGGACCTTTCTGTCCTCAGCGACGCATCACCCCCTTACTCGCTGCCGCCCCCTCCAGCACCGCATCCAACTATCGTGAGCCCATTGACTCCAGATATACTGGCTCTGCCTGCTAGTGTCCTCACTTTGCCGGGCTCTGATAAGGTTCCCTTCCATATTTCAGCCTCAGGTATAGAACCCTACCCGTCTTCAGATAGACGCCTTTATGTAGGTCATCTTGTCCTGGCAAACTTTACCGCTGAGCGTGTCAACGGCAGTCTCGTGTTTAGGCATTTGCCGCTGACACTGGATCAGGTAGGTCTTACCGCTACACTTTCTCAGCGTGTCGTGCTAGACCACTGAGTGTTCTGTGAGGTACGCCGGACGCAAAT